TTATTAATATTGTTTATTATGCATATTAGATGAATTGTGAAGATAACTAAGTCATAGAGTTGATATTGCATTATTTTGTCATGCCCCTAGAGGCTGGAAAAAATAAATTCATTTCAATTAATTTAAATGGGGAAAAATTTTACCCGCATCTAAAAAACCGGGTTAAAAACAAGGTCGGGAAGTATTAAATCAAACCCAAGGTTTTCCACGTATTTTTATCTAAGCTTATAGTGAGTGGTAATATATACGTGTGTGGAAGCTGAAAAAATTGAAGGAGTATAACCAAGATTACCCCTTTAAAAAAAACCCTTAAAGCAAAGCCCAAAAAGTGCCCCCACTGCTAGGAAAAATTAATAAAAAATTTAATCAGGGGTGAAAAAACGTGGGAAAAATGAGAATGCAAGTAGAGAAAACATGTGAATGTGGTTTAAATTTACTGAATTTTCACAAAGTCCCCAAATACAAATAAAGCCAAACACTTTCGTAAAAAGAAAAATCAATTTTATAAAGCTTATATTTGGTAACAATTTGCAAAAGAAATCAGAGAAAATTTTTCATTACATTTGCATCTTCCAAAAACAATTTTCTCTTACCTCATGAATATTTCCGTTTTTTGCATCCCAATGTCATTAGAAACAAATTTATTGAATTTCCACTACAGGAAAAGACAAGTGTCTATCCATAATTTGCCCTTCCCATAAACAGAAACCACCCATCCTTGTTTATTAAAAATTTTCTTGTTTGTCATCAATGAAAGCACCCTTAGGCTTTCCTCAGAGCCTGGAAAATGAACTATAAATTAAAAAATAAGTCCTTTCCTCCATTTTCAAAAGACTCCTAAATTTATCCTTCCCAAAAATTTATATATTTCTTTTCTTTAAATATAATTTATTAGTTCTTAAGTTTTCTAAAAAAATATTTTTAAAAAACAAAATGTAGTACAGTGGACACCCCATAACGTTTTAATCCGTTCTGAAGTCAATGTTATCGAAATTTCGTTAGGGAAATTTAAATTTCCCCCAAAAGAAATAATGGAATCAATTAATCCGTGCAAGACACCCAAAAGTATAAAAAAAAAAAAAATTTTCCACGTAAAAATTTTAATTTTAATGACAAAAACAAAGAAAAACATGCCATTTTACAGACACTTTTTTATTGAAGATGGGGTGATGATTGATGGGATGGGGGAAGGGAGACTGGGGGTTTTTATTTTTTTAAAAGGGGAACCCTTCCATTAGGATTGAGGTGAAGCCCTTTTTCCGGGGTTGTTCCCCCCTCCTTTTAATACCACTAGGACCACTTCAGAGTCAGGGATTCTGTCGCACAACTTTTGCCATAGTGGCCTGTACCTCTGTTCTTAGATTTCCAAAGTGTTTCACAACATGTCAGTGAAATAGTCACCAACGGTTTGAAATTGTGTTAGGGGTAATTTTTTCCATGAAGGTTTGCACTTCAAGCCTTTTTGCACAGATTTCCCTTAACTTTAAAATAGGAACTTTTCAATTTCTCTTCCCCTCCCCCGAAGCAATTTCCTGGTGTGGCCTCTTTGCTGTTGAAGTTGATCTAGCAGCTCATCAGGGGTTATTTTTTCATTGCCTCCTCCACCAACTTTTCCACACCCTCCCCAAAACCCCAACCCCCAAGGACCCCCCCAATGCCACAATTGATTCCTCAACTGGCATAGGATTTTCGGGTTAGCTCAAATCCTTCAAAATCCCTTTGGTTTCACATTTTGGGTACAGTTTCTTCCAAGGGGAGTTCAAGGCCTCTTAGTCACTCCTCCCAAGCCTTTCCATAAGGTTTACACAATTGAGGATATTAAAGTGCTCTCTCCAAACTCTCTTTGAGTCAATTGAGTTTTTGAGGTATACAAAACCCTTTTAAACAGGCTTTTGTGAAAGTTTTTTTAAGTTTGCAATAAGCTGGCCCCTGGGTTTTCAGGAGGCAGTGGTATAGGAGGCAAAAACTTCCCTTTAAGAAGCTCATGTCCCCCCAAGGCTCTGCCAAGTTGTAGGGTGATCGGGGCTTGCTAACACCGGAGGCACTTTAAAGGGTTTAAATTTTTTTTCAGTTTGTTAATTTTTTACAGTGGGCAAATCTTGGGGTAAACCGTCATAGGAAAAATCCCTATGACCCCTGCCTTTTGTTTGCCCCCCCAGCACACACAAATTAGCCTTTGGGGTTTTCTTTTTCTGACGCTCGGGGGTTTCAGAGTGTACCTAAAAAAGGCTTCACTTGAACACCACTGCATTGACACACTGAGAAAGGGGAAGCCCGTCTTTCATCTTTGTCCTGGGGGGGCCTTTCCCCCTAGTAATGTAGGGCCCGCTGGGATTTTTTCCAAAAAAAGGGCCCGCGCAAATTAAACATTGTTTAGGTTTCAGTCCTTTCACTGCTATGTACTCCTTGAATTCATCAGTATTTTTCAGCGCTTTTTTGGGCCGAACTGGGGCCTCACCATGCCCTTTTTCACACATGTATGCCACTACGATTTTAAACTCTCAAAAAACTTTGTGGCCTTAAAATTTTACTCCATCCCCATTTGTTGCAGGCATTTTTCTAATTAAAACCCCGGCAACTTCCTAGCCTTTTCCTTTTGATCGCTTGAGAGAGCTATCGCCTGCTATTGTTTTTCGTTTTTCCAACCAATAAAGCTCCAACATAATCACTTGCGATCTCTGTTTCGAAAGCCCACAGTTAAACCTTTGGCAAAAACGTTCCTTGATTTCCGTTCCCTTGGGAAAAATAGAACGTTGGTTATTGGGGTTTTTTCTAAACAACCTGGCCAGCTCGGAGACATACACTCCACTTTCATCTTAGCAATGAACGCTTTCTTTATCTCCATATAATTATCACCCCTTTTCCCCCGGGGGGTTTGGGACAAAAAGCTTTCTTGGGGCCCCCTGGTCACTTATTTTTTTAGGGGAAAACACAAAAAAATGTAAAATAGAAATGTTCCGACTGTTGCTTTAATGTTACCGCGGGGGCGGGTTGTAAAAAAGCCACTGGGGAAACAAGTGAGGCTGGCTCAGGCCCCATGGACGTGTCTCGGACGAATCGCGTTGAGCGAATTTTTTAGCACTATGGGAGGCAAAATTTTAGTGATAAAATGTATTGCTATGCGGATTTAACACTATGCGATGCCAAAGTTATGTGGGGGTCCACTGTATTCCCTCATACTATACATGCCCATGCCAACAGACTACACATTGCCCGGTGGCCTGGTAGCTAAAGCTCCCGCTTCACATACGGAGGGCTCAGGTTCGATTCCCGGCGGGTGGAAACATTTCGACGCGTTTCCTTACACATGTTGTCCTGCTCGCCTAGCAGCAAGTAGGTACCTGGGTGTTAGTCGACTAGTGTGGGTCGCATCCTGGGGGACAAGATTAAGGACCCCCAATGGAAATAAGTTCGACAGTTCTAGATAATGCACTGACTTTCTTGGGTTATCCTGGGCGGTTAACCCTCCAAGGTTAAAAATTTGAAGAAAATCTTATCTCTAAAATAGAAGGCCCCAGTTTCAGTTACATTTGTTTCTTTCTTAACCACACTGTTTTCAACCAGGGTAGGATGACTCAAAGAAGGAAACATTCACCATCAAGGGCTTTATGGTGAATGTACATGCCAGAGTCTGATGGAGTTACTGTTGCTGAGGCAAGAAATTCATTCATCCAACAGCCATTTTACCAGAAATGTTGAGATGTTCAACTAACATTATCCTCCCAACTGCAGAATCCCTGCCCACCGTTCAGATTATTATTATAATCAAAAAGAAGCGCTAAGCCACAAGGCCCACCGTTCAGAGTGTAGGCATTATCTTCCACCTCCAGGACTTGCATCTAGCTAACCATTCACCCTGAATTCCTTCATAAACATTACCATCCTCACACTCGTACAGCACCTCCAATACAAAAACTGTCTTCATTCACTCCATGTTTACACATGCCTACGTGATACTCAAGCCCTTACCACTCTTAACCTCTAACCCATTGGATGACTCCTGCTACTCCCATTCACCCTAGATTCATCAAACCATCTTCCTACATTCTATTTTTTCACACTGTTTTTTAGTAAGTTTTTCTATTTATGTTATTTAATTATGATTAGACTTCTTTTTTTTTTAACAAGTCGGCTGTCTCCCACTGAGGCAGGGTGACCCAAAAAGAAAGAAAATCCCCAAAAAGAAAATACTTTCATCATTCAACACTTTCACCTCACTCACACATAATCACTGTTTTTGCAGAGGTGCTCAGAATACAACAGTTTTGAAGTATATACATAAAAAGATACACAAAATACCCCCCAAACTGCCAAATCCCAAAAACCCCCCCTTAAAGTGCAGGGGTTTTACTTCCATTTCCAGGCTCAAATCCCGGGTTTTTAAAATAATGGTTTCCCTGAAACCCTTTCCCAAATATTACCCTGCTCAACTCCAAAAGCTCGGCAGGTCCCAACCATTATTCCATTCACTCTATCAAAATGCTCCCCCACTTGCTGAAAGTCCAAAACCTCTTTACCCCCCCCTCAACCCTTTTTAGGGGAAAACCCCCCCGCATTCCTTCCCCCACAGATTTATATGGTCTCTGTAGCAGCCTAAACGTCTGCACAACAGCCCAGCTGTCTGCCAGCTTGTTCTATTTCGCCCTGCTGGTGCTGCCACCTTAGGCGTTCCCCTTAGCCCGCCCGCCCCTTTCCTCTCACTCACCCACAGCGGCCTAGGAGCAAGACACAAGGCCTACTAGCAGCTCTCTCTCGTGGGATGGCCCTGCCCGGGCCATGGGCACAACACACAAGCCTGTGTACCCACCACGACTTTCAATAAACAAAGAAGCCTCCGAAGACATTTATCATTTACTCCCCGCTACCAGAACACCAAACATTGGTAGCAGCAGTGGTCGCAGCAGTTGTTTGCCCGGAGAGAGGAAGGAGAGGTATGAAGTCATCTTCATCCGTCTCTCAACAAGTTATCCTGATGTCGTGTCTGCACGTTTCAGCATCCAGACACAAGTACAAGCAGGATCCAGCCGAAATTTGCCGAAGTTCTCCGAGAATTGTAAGTGACCCCACGCTACAGTGTCCCAAGCTGTTTCTCAAGTCACGTGTTCAGCGTCGCTTGTATGTTGCTGCTGTTATTCAGCTCAGCACAGCTGTTTCAGCAAGCCAGAGGCGAGTTTCGTGGTGATTTCTGCGTCCAGTGTGTTTCCCTGTGTTTGTGGGTGGGAGGAGGAGGAATGGCCAGATGCTCCCTCGCCATACACTCATCCACGCTCCTCGCCACCACACTACCATACATCACTCACCACTGCCCACTCCCTCTGCTGTGTTTTCTGCTGTTTTCCGTGTGAATTCATTGCCAGTGCTGTGTATCCGAGTGCCCGAGGCCACTCAAAGCTACATGGATCAGCATGCCACGTAGATCACGACGCCACGTTGGGTGTGGGCGATGTCACGTAGATCTACCAGCCACGTGAGTTACCAGATGTCCCAGGCCTCATGCTGTGGTCTGCTGCCCTCATCACATTGACGTCACCCACGATGCTGCCCGACTTCATGACGTCACGATGTCTGCCTGTCACCTCGAGATGTCTGCTGACGTCACAGTGCTGCTGATGTCACCTCGCGACATCACGCCTGACATCACATGATGTCACCATCGAGTGTTCAGTAATTATTAAAATATTGTCGAGAAGATTGAGGGAAGATATATGTCGTGTGTTAATTAATTCCTCTCAGTCAGTGTTCTCACATTTTAGTATATGTCTTAGTGTCAGTTTTATGCA